CAGCACCTGCACACGGCGCGGGGTCCACGCCAGCACCCCCCGCACAGCGCTCCTCGGGTCCAGGCAGGCGTGCAGCCCCCCAAGGTGCCTGGTCGGCCAGGCCAAGGGGCACCCAGTTCCTCCACGCTCTCCCGTGCCGAGCGAAGGCACCCCAGTCCACACCGTAAAGCCGGGGAGCCTGCTTTCGCATGGGGGTGAAGGGAGGAGGATCGAACCTGCTTCATGGGAATGGCCCGCCCGCTGCCGATACTGTCCGCTTTACACTCCAGCACCTTCTTCTCCCGCTCCGGGTCTGCGCCCTTTCGAGACTGGAAGAGAAGAGACATAGGTCCGTTAGAGACAGGGGCGCAGGAGATGGAAACGCACGGCCCCACCATCCCCCGTGGGCTGCCAGACCAGACCACTCTCCCCCAGGCCAGGTCTCCCAGCGCATGGAGCCACCAGCGTCTCGCCCGTCCCCTCTAGGGACACTCCAGACCCAGCCTCCCCACCACCTGTCCCCCGGCAAGCTGTCCTCTCCCCCCACAACTGCAAGCAGAGCTGTCCTCCTAGCAGAACGGGGCTGCCTCTGACCCCCCTCCCGCGGGGGCACACAGGACATGGCGACAGACAGAAATGGCATGGGATGCAGGTGGAGCATGGATGGAAGCAGGAGAGGCTAAGGCAGTGAAGGAACTCAGACCTCTACTAATCCAACAGATTTATTCTGTTAACACACTTGCACCATACAAAGTAGCACAGGTCACCGGGCAGAGATACCAGCCCCTTACAAAAGAGCATGGACAATAAATATCTATCACACGTCTAGAGAGTTGAGAGCAAAACCCGCCAGCCCCCGAGGGCGGCTGCGGTGAGAGCAAACTCCAATAAATACAATATGAAATATACAGTCTGTTGAGCAGAACTCATTCAAAGTGCTTAGGACAGAGGAAAATATCAAGTCATACACGGCATGGAGCACAATCAATACATTCAGAATCACAACAATGGCAGAAGGGCAGCGGCAGCGTCTCTCTGGAGCGTCCTACACACCCCCTCAGTCCGGGAGCGCCCCATGTGCTTTGGATCAGAAAGGGACACGAGCCCCACGCGCCTGGGACACCGATTCACTTGCTTTTGGGCCCAGAACAAAACAAAGAGATTGAAAGAGAAGAAAACTAAAGAGACATAGATGGCTGCTCTGCTGCGAGGAGGAAGAAGAGGAGGAGCAGGAGTCCATGCAGGCTGCAGGAGGTGCAGTAGGGAGGAAGGAGCTGAGTGCTAGCGGCAGGCGCTAACAGCAGCTCCCGCAGGCAGCAGCAAAGCGTCTTTTGGCCCATCCAGCTCCACTCGCTGCTGTCGCCCGGTGCCGGCAGGTCTGCAGGTCTTCCCATCCCATGAGGGTCATCCGCCTGGCATCCCCAAGCATGGAAAGTGCCTAGACAGCATCCAGCAGGCCCAGAAATGTCCCAGCTTAAAGTGCAGGCGCAGGCCGTCTCAGCGCTTCCTAGACTTTACATTGGGGGGATTTAAAAGGCTCCTGCGTGTCTCCGAGGGGGGGACATGCTGGCTGGAGGGCGGGCGAGCCTCTAATGTTAGATCAATCCCAGTGCCCATCCCTTATCCGGCCCTGGAGAGGCAATGAAAAGTGAGAGAATTTGTACAGAGGTGCCGTGTGTAACCACCTGGATCTTCTAATTTGGAAGGAGTTGGAAAGGCCTTTTTGTTGATGAAAAGTTGGAAACAGTGGCACATATCTGCAAATATCGAAAGAATAAAGAGTTTGGCAAGTTATACTCAGAACACGGACACGAGTCTGTCAGTGATGGGCGCCAGCGGACAGGCAGACAGACAGGCCACGGAGCGAGGCGCCGGCGGCAGCAGCAGTTGGGGTTTGGGCTCCAGCTAGCGGGGATGGGGTGGGCGCCTCTTGGGCAGAGTCTGTCTCCACCTGGTGGTCTCCGGCACGCAGACCCCTGCCTCTGCGGCAGCGGGGTGCGCTCCGGGGTGGGGAGCAGGAGGGGGGCGGGCGGGGCG